AAACTACCACAATAACCTGTTTTGATTGGGGTAAGTAGAATCTGAATGGGGTTTTGTGTAGTGTGCGTGTGTGCGTGCATGTGTGTGTGCACGTGCGCATGCCTACATGCATGTGTGTGTGTGCGCACACAGACACTACAGTGGCATGTCAGCTAGATGACAGCCCCCAGTATTGGTCCTTACCTTCTGCCTTGTTTGAGGTGGTATCTTTTGTCATTTGCTGCCTACACAGGGCTAGCCAACTCCTAGCCTCTGAGACCCTCTGCTCTCTATCTTGCAATGTGATATCTGGGATGACGGTGTGCACTGTGACATCTGCATTCTCATGGGTTGTAGGGATTCAAACTCAGATCCGCATGCTTGTATGGCAACCACTGAGACATCTCCCCAGCCCCTCAATGCAGGTTTCTTTTTTGCTTTTTAATTTTTATTGATTTATGCATATGGGTGTTTTGCCTGAATGTCTGTGTATTACATGTGTGCCCGGTAACCATAGAGGCTGGGGGGGGGGTGTTAGGTCTTCTGGACCTGGAGTTGTGAGTGGCCAAGTGCATGCTGGGACTCAAACAGTCTTCTGGAAGAGCAGCCCATGTTCTTAACCACTGAGCCATCTCTCTGGCCCTTGAGTCCTCTGTCTAAGGTGTAGTTGGCAAATATATTTTTTCACATTCTGTAGGCTGGAAACACTACTTTCTGTAAAACTGGAAGGAAGCAGAATGAAAAGGAATGGCCTGAGGGCAGGAAGTCATTGCTTTTCCGGTGTTTAAGTGTTGGCAGTGAACAACACTTAGTAGGGAACAGTTCCTAAGGAGTTGGATAGAACCTGTTTACTCAGTCATTCTGAGTCCCCCACAGAGAAAGTGCACCATAGGCTTGTCCTCTTTGAGTAATCATTCTGGGGGTTGGGGACACTGATTGACATTAGCACAGTTTAGAGTGATCAAGTCTGTACCTTCGAGGAACTTAAAGGCTGAAGAGCTTAACACAGATATGGAATGGGATAGAAGGATAGATTGTGCTTTTGGGGGAGCTCCGGACCCTGATTACCCGCTATGGAGCCTGAGCGTAGGTAGCTAGCTACTTGAGGAGATAGCTGAGTGATGAGTCTGTGTGAACCAGGACGGGATGGAATTGGTGTCATGAGGTCATTTTCCTCCCTGGACCTTGGGACTGCGAGTGTGGTCAGGAGCAGGCCAAGTTCCTCTAGGGCTGGAGTGACCAGATATGGATTTTCAAAGGACAGAATGGATATGGATTTTCAAAGGACAGAATGTGAACAAGGTGGTTGCGGGGAGGGGTCTTGTGTGGAGAGGGCAGTTCAGGGTTGGGAAATTATTGTCATTTCTGTGGACTATCAAGAGGGGTTGATACAAAAGCTTAGAAGGGGCGGATGTACTCAACACTCAGATCAGGCAGAGGGTAGAGAGTGGGACAGGGAACCAGTGTTCACAGTACAGCCAGCGCCTGAAACCTCAGGGTTGCTTGGGGCCAGGAGCATAGTAGCTTCCTGGCGGCAGGTGAAGGAAACTCTACTCAGAGAGTTGGAATAGGGAAATGAGCAATTCGGGTGCACATGTGAGAGAGAGTGTGTGATCATGCCCAGCTCTAGGCAGAGTCTCAGTATGTAACCCTGGCTAGCCCGGGTTACATACTGTATAGACCAGGCTGGCCTCGAACTCATAGAGAGGTTCACCTGCCTCTTCTACCCAGAAGAAGGGAATGTGAGGACTAAAAGCATGTGTCACCACACAAAGCTAAAATCTCAAGTCTTCCCTGTTCTCAAGGCTGACCTCCACAGGTCTGCTGCTCTCTCTGGGGGATCACGTGACTTGAAAGACTATTTATTTATTGATTTATGATTTATGCCCCAGCTAACTTCTAGCTGAGTTACACTAGTATAACCAGCCTCTCTTTCTTTTAATTAGTTGATTGGTGTGTGTGTGTGTGTGTGTGTGTGTGTGTGTGAAAATGCACGTGTGCGCATGCGCATGCGGGTACGTATGCAACAGAGTGTAAAGGTCAGAGGGTAGCAGCCTGGAGTTGGTCTCACCTTCTACCTTCTTGTGGGACCCTGCTGAGCCTTCCCATTGCTCGCCTGTCATCATAGCCATTCTTTGTGATGCCTGTTTCTTTTGCAGTTGTTGGCTGTGGCCTTGGAGCACTGGGAAGCCGTGGTCAGCGGGGCAGCAATCTTAGCTGAGGTACCTCTGCCGATGGTGACCGGCACGTGGGCTCAGTCATCTGTCACTCAAGGGCATGGCACTGCTAGCGAGCCTTAGGCAGGTCTATAAAGGGCACCCGCATAGCTAAGTTATAACTAGGGAGGGACAAGAGGAGCGAGGCTGGCTGGAGTCTTGTTCTCTTACATCTCTCCCCGTTAGTGCCGCAGGTCCCTTGTTCTGCAATCTGCTGTGGACTCGCAGCAGCCCACCTTCTCAAGGCCTCGGATCGTGAGAACAGGGCACTGTTGGGTCCCACCACCCTTCATCATCGTGAGTAAAAACAGGGATGCAGGGAATGCCAGGGCAACAGTCGGTGACCAGGTATGCTGCTGAGCTCTGAGTCCCCCACCCCCAGCAGGACGGGTGTCCTGTCTGCAAGGACTCAAGGAGGGCTCCGCAGCAGAGGACTAACACGCACATGCTCTATTATTAGCTGGGCCTGTAATCCCAGCGCGAAGGAAGCTGTGTAGGAAGAGTGCCATGAGTTTGAGGCTAGCCTGGCTTACACTATGAGTTTGAAGCCAACCAGGCTAGAGCTAGAGCCTACCTCACAACCAGCCAATTGTGCCTGGACAGATGGCACAACACTTCAGCACATCGGCTGCACTTCCAGAGGAGCTCAAGGTTCAATTCCTAGCACCCGTGCAGCAGCTCAGAGCCAAGTGTAACCCAGACGAACTAACGTTCTCTCCTGACCTCCTCGGGCACAGATGCAGGCAAAAGAGCCTTGCACAGGAACAAAAAAAGGTCTTTAAAATGTTAACTGTGAGCCAGGCATGGTGGCACACATCTTTAATCTTAATTCTCAGGAGGCAGAGGCAGGTGAAGTTCTGAGTTCGAGGCCAGCCCAGTCTACGGAATGAGTTCCCAGACAGCTAGGGCTACACAGAGAGACCTTGCTTCGAAAAACAAACGAAACACTGGACTGGGTTTTATGTTGTGATGTTAATACTAACGAGATCTTGGGGATAAGCAATGTGTATGTGTGTGAGTGAAGCTGACAAGGGCCAGTTGTACTGGTTAGTTTGTCAATTTGACACAAGCTGGAGTAACCTGGAAAGAAGGACCCTCCACTCAGAAAAAGGCTGGCCTGTGGGGCAGTTTCTTGGGCAGTGATTGAAGTGGGAGAGCCCAGCCTACTGTGTGTGGCACCTGCTGACTGTGGCAGGTGGTCCTAAGCTGTGTAAGAAAGCAGGCTGAGCGAATGATGGTGAGGAGTGACCCCTTCACAACCCCGCTTTACTCACTTCCTGCCTCTAGGCTCCTGCCCTGACTCCTTCCTTCAGTGCATGACCGTGTTCAGGACATGTCAGTCACATAGCCCCTCTCCTCTCCAAGTTGCTTTGGTCATGGTGTTTATCACAGCAACAGAGAGCAAATGAGGACTCCAACCCAAAACACTACACATGACAACCTTGGTAGAAAAAAGGAGGAGACACCTGTAAAAACTGCTTCTGCCTGATGCATTCCCTGTAGCCTCAAAACCTCCGTCCTGTGCTTCACAAAATGTCAAGGCTTGGCAACATGGAGGAGTCCTGATCGTTTTCTAGAAAATTCCCTTGACCTTTTGGGCTAACCACTTTCCCTCTTTCAGGAGAGATTACAGGGTTGCTGCTGGGACTCAACAGATAGAAAGCATTTTCTCTAGTCTTTGATCAAGTCTTGTATTTTCTGGCTTACACATTGTATGAGATGCTGGGTACTGAACCTGGGCCTTGTTCTGGGCAAGCGCTGTGCCACTGCGCTACAGGCCTGGACCCTCGAATGGATTATTTTAAGAAGACAGTTAATTTTCCTAGTTAGGAAGGTTCTTGATAAAGACTAACTTGGTTCTTGCTGTCCTGATTGGCTTCCATTTTCCCATCTGGAAAATGTCATGTTATATTAGTATCAAATTAATATTCTATTGGCCAAAGTTGACCTGAAGCTGTGTTATTTGGCCAATATAACAGTTAGGGAAGGCTGTACCAATGTTTGAAAATTATTAAAAGATGTTGAACACAGAAACCCAGTTTCCCAATTTCTCTAGAAAAACCAGAGGATGTGGCAACACTGAGTCCAGGTTTCCGCCAGGAATAATCAACTAGGCTAAAGAAGGCTGCCTATGGTTGAGATACACAATCTGTCCCCCAGCCTCCATTGGGCCATCTTCACTCTCTGTAGTGGCTACCTGGCTCCAGTTAGGCATCTCAATTTGTGGCTCTCTGGATAGCAGAGAACAGGTTATATCTGGCACAGGGCAGGTGATTACCACATCGGTGACTCCCCCAGTACCTTTCTCTGTTACTCTTATTTTTTAAAATTATTTACTTGTATTTTATGTGCAATGGTGCTTTGCCCACATGCATGTCTAGGTGAGGGTATTTGATCTCCTGGAACTGGAGTTACAGACAGTTGTGAGCTGCCATGTGGGTGCTGGGGATTGAACTGCGGTCCTCTGGAAGACCAGCCAGTGCTCTTAACCACTGAGCCATCTCTCCAGCACCTCTGTTACTTTTATGAGGGCATAGTTAGAAATCCAAGCTCATGTTTTTTATTTTATTGTTATTTGTGGCTATCTCATAAGCAATCTTGCCTCAGCCTCGTGAGTGCTGGGATTACAGGTGTGAACCACCATGCCTGGCTCTGTGGTAGTTATTAAGGATATGATTTCTATTTTCAAGAGGTGAGTTGAATAGTCCTGTCCATCAGGGTAGACTATGTTATCCTCTGATAATAAACTCTGTATCTCAATGGTTTAAATGGCAAAGGTTTTATTTCTTGCTTACAGAAACCTACAAAATGAACATATTCTTGTATTTTCACATGCAGAGATAGATGTGAGCACACAGGCATATATAGAACATAAACTCTTGCAAAAATATATTTAGATATGGTCCTCTTAAACTGCCCAGCTGTGAGGGACTTAAAAAGGGCTAGAGAACATCCACCTCCAGTCAAGGAAATACCCACACTACAAAAGGAAACTGAAAGTTAAAAAAAAAAAAAAAAAGGCTGAAGTTTGCATTACATAAATTCTATACAAAATGCATAAGTAAAATACCAAATATGCATGCCTGCAGTTAGTCGACTCTTGTCCCAGTGAGGCAGCCTCCACCTCTGGTTTCTAGCTAAGGAGGGAGATGGAACCCAAACGACCAATGTGCAGAGAGACAGAGGAGGCTGGACTGGGCCGGAGAGGCGGGCCAACAGGCTGGAACCCTCTTCCTGCTGGAGGAGCTGTGGGCAGACAGGAAGGGGCAGGCCCAGGTCAGTCCAACCCACTGTGGTCTCCGGAACCCGTCCCGTGTCCTCACTCCTGCCTCCAGTATTGCCTTCTTCTTCCCTCCACCACGGCTACCCTGCTCGGTGTAGCGCAGAGCAGAGCATCCCCAGGGCCCCTTTCAACAGCGGCTGGTCCAGACTCAGAAGTCCCCCAGCCTCTTCTCTCCCACCTCCAGCAGATCCTCCGGGTCAGTGCTGCACTGGACAGGGGCGTTTTCAGCCTTCACCTCTGTCCCCCGGAGCTCTCTCCTTCCTCACAGGTGTCCTAGTGTTGCCACTAAGCCTTGTGAGGGTCTCCAGGTTCCCTAGCCAGAATACAAGCTCCTGGAGGGCAGTTAGTTATCAGTCCTAGCCCGGACCCTGGTTACTGACTGCACTCCCTTCCCAGACGGAGCAGGAAGCTAGGGTCTAGAGACCAGGCTCTTCAGAGTCTTGCTAAATGCCAGCCTGGAAAGTCTACAGCCCAGGACCTGGTTTTCCTTGATATCAAGGCACCGACATCTGTCATTCAGAAAACTGGTAAAGAGTGACTCATGAATAGTCTGAGGCCAGGCTGAGACACTTAGGGGCCTGAGCCCCGGGACACTGACCTAGTGTTTGCCCCATCTTGGTTAGACCCTGCTTTTTCTGATAGCCTCCATTTACCTGGCGGGCCACAGGGGTGGAGCAGAGAGATCCAGGCAGGGTTCGGGGGGACAGATGGGGTCAGGCGGGGAGCCTGGGATGAATCTTTCAGACCTACAAGGGCCTCAGCTGCCTCTCGCTGCAGCTGCCGCTCTGAGGGGCCAGATGTCCAGGCCAGGCAAGAGGCTCCCGGGGCCTGCGAAGGAAGGGGAGGGGACACTGGGGCCCTCCCTTCCACACACCCTGCAAGTGCTTCCCTCAGCCCCTGCTTTTCCCTTCTGCAGACCCAGCCTCCTCCCAGGCCCTTGGAGGCTACTTCTTTCCAAGACCTGTGGCTGTAGCAGAAGAGAGTCTGGGCTGCCACAGGACTGGAGTATCAGAGTCGAACATCTGGAAAAGGAGAGACACATGGGAAGTGGGAGGGCACTCTGACCTGGAGAGACCATGGGAAGTTCCAGGCTGGCCACTGGACTCTGTGGGCTTGGGCACTTTGCTTTTATAACATGAGGATCTCATCCAGTTTTCCCTCCCAGGCTACTGTGAAGGTTACAGGGAACCGGTGCTGTCAGGGTTCCAAAGGAGATAAAATACCCAGGGCACTGGGGTTGCGCTCTGCTCTACTAGCCTGCTTTCTCCAGCCCAGCTTCCTCTGCCCTGAGGAATTCCACCTTCAAGAAACTTGTTCTCATGGCTTCTGGTCTGTCCCTTTCCTTACCACCGTGGCCCTCTGTGACACCAGACAAGGCTAGCCTACACTGTTCAGAAGTTCAAGCAGCCATGCTCGTTCAAGGTCAGGACATGTGCTAGGTGTTATTACCACGCAGCCCCAGATGAGGGAGTAGCAGCTAAAAAGTGACCGGTAATAAAACAGGCTGTGAGAGGCACAGACATTGTCGAAGCCTCTCAGTTAGGGAACAGCAGGGACAGTTGACACCTGCCTGCCTGTTAGTCTGAGACTCCTCAGACTAACTTTTGAGACAGGAATGTCATGGAGCCCAGGCTGGCCCTGTATAGTGTAGCTGAAGATTACCCTGAAGCTCTGACGTCCCTGGCTCAACCTCCCAAGTGCTGGGATTGATTACAGGTGTGCACCATCACACTTGGCCCGAAACTGCCTTCTGTCATATTCCTACTTACGTGTGAGGCAGGTTAGGGGGTCCTTGGGGCTCTCCAGAAAGTGGAGCTGCCAGTACTGAACGAGATCCTGGGCAGGTTGGGAGGGTTCCGTGAGTGGGCAGCCGGAGAGAGGTGCCAGGGTCAAAGCCTAAGGGGGGCGAGGGAAGGGAAGCAGACTGGATGGGCTCAGAGACCACGGCTGGCGACCCTCCACCCTCTCCTCTCCCCTTTCTGGTGCAGTAGCAACCCAGCATTGGGCTGTCTGTGGCGTGACAGGAGGGGGGGCTTCTTACCGGGGAGGGGATGCAGAGGGACAGCAGGCTCCTGGCACAGCAAGCGGCACACTACTGGAGGTGGCATTGAGAGGCCTGGGGGCAGCCAGTGTCCAGGGCCCCAAGGCCCAGGAGGCACTGGAGTCCAGGGCAAAGGCAAGGCCTCCTGGGGGCGGCTGAACAGCAGAGGCCCGTAGTTCTCCTGTGAGGGGAGAGGGGCCCAGGGCAAAGGCACGAGCCTGCAGAAGTAGGCACGCTCCAGGGTGATGCTCTTAAAGCGTCACCTTCTTTCACCCACAGGTCCCAAGACTCACTGAAGAGCTCATCACAAGTCAGGGCCAGGCTGGGAACCAGTGCAGAAGACACAGAGGGGACAGAAGGGAGGGGGGGAAGGGGCTGGGCGAGGACTCAGCCCTCAGGTCTCCTTACCTTCCCAGGGGCCGTCAGCACCAATGGGGCTGTCCCATGGGGGCTCTGTGGCTGGGGTGCTATGTTCTCCTTTCCAGCTGTGAGGAGATCCCAGGGGGAGATCCAGCGGCCCCTACTGACCCCTGTGCTACACCAGCTTCACCAGTTCTCACCTGCCTCTGACATCTTTATTCTTATTTTCTCCCACATAGCCCAGGCTGGGTTTGAACCCCTGATCGCCCTGTCTCCACTTCCACATGCTATCATGCCCAGGCCTGCTCTGTGGCCCAGCCCTCCTGGAGACAGGGTCTGGTTTGGTGGCTCGGGTTGGCTCTCAGCTCATTGTCCTCTGCCCTTACCTCTCCAGGGCTGGGGTTCCAGGCATGCTGCTCACCAGGCCTCACTCCTCCATTTTCTCTAACTTATTGTGTTTGTGTGCCATGGTGTGCGTGTGGCGCCCACAGGACAATTCTGGGGAGTCAGCCCTCTCCTTTGATCTCTATGTGGGCTCTGAGGATCGAGCTCGGGTCACCGGGTTTGTGCAGCAAGTCCCTTTACCCTGAGCCACCTCACTGTCCCGTCCCCCACTTTCCATCTTGAGCTGCCGCTGCACCCCTACCCACATTTTAAAATAAAACTTCACCCAAACCCCCGTCCCATCCCCAACCAGAGACACTCACAAGGGACCCCTGGTCGAATGGCCCCCTTCTTGACACGGAGGGGAGCTTTCAGGGGGGTTGTCCCTTTCATCAGTCCCTGAGCCAGGTGCCTTTTGAGCTGCGCCTCTTGCTGCCTGCGCAAGGCCACTTGGGCAGCCATGACTCTCCGGCGTTCTCTAAGAGAGGGGGGTTGCGAGTCAAAAGTCAGCCTTTTGGAGAAGACCCTCTCCCCAGCCATACTCACAGAATGAGGACACATTTGTGACACTCGCAAGCCTGAAAGAGGCAGAGGCGCTTGTGGCCCTTGAGATGGGCCGTGACACCGTGGTTGCGACAGCGGGCACAGGTTGGAGAGCGACTGACGGGTCTCCTGGGGATGAGCTCTGTGCTCTGGGGGACTCTGGTCTCAGTCCCTGGGGAGGAGTCGGCAGAGCAGTGGAGGAGAGCGGGTGTTTCACTGGGGTCCATGGATCTAGGGGCAGGAGTGGCGGCTCAGGACGGTTACACGGACTCTGTCCTAACCAGCCCTTCTGCTCTTGGGAAGCCGTATCTGTGCTCATCCATGTTGCCCCTCACAGGACCCAGCTCAGGGTCCTCTTTCCCCCCACAACCTTTCTCATAGACCCTCCCTGCTCAGAAACTACTCTTTTCTTTTTCAAGTATTTGTTCCATACAAGCATCCTTCTCTTTCGCTATGCTGAATGCCGGCTGGCGGCATAGATGTGTTTGCCCTCCCAGAGACCTCCAGCATGCTTACACTCTATTCTACCACACAGGGTTTCCAGGCACCCTCTTCCACAACTGTCACGCACCCCTTTGCATTTATCCGGTCCTTGAAAACATTTTTATGTGGGCCCTCAATTCTAAGCTCCACATGCGCTAGCCAAGTCAATTTGATCTTTGTATGCCATCGTGATTTGGGGGGGGTTGAGTATCAAGTGTGTGTGTGGATACATGTGTGTGCCTGTGGAGCCCAGAGGACGGCATTTTTACACAGCTTTCCTCCACTGCTCTCCACTTGTTTCTTTTTTCCTGACAGGGTCATCTTGCTGAATCTGAAGTTCATGTCTTTAGCTATACTGGCTGGCCAATAAGCTCCCCATCACTAAGGGTGGGGATACAGGCATGCCAGTGCACTGAGATTTTAATGGGACCTGAACTCAGGTACCCAGGCATGTGCCCAAGGCACTATCCACTGAGCTTTCTCCTCAACACCCCTTGATTTTTAAAAATTTAGTTAGTTAATTAATTTATTGTTGGAGACAAGACCTCACTATGAGTGTATTCCTGGCTGGCCTGGAACACTCTGTGTAGACCAGGTTGGACTCAAATTCATAGAGACCCATCTGCCTCCACTTCCAGAGTGCTGGGGTTAAATGGTGTGTGCCACCAAGGCTGGATTTTGTTTTTGTACTCTCCAGTAGTAATATGATTCTCAAGAGATTTTGTATCCCATTTTCACTAGAGGGGATTTGCTTTTTTTTTTTTTTTTAAATGGGCATTGAGCTGGGCTGTGGGGACACATGTCTTTAGTCCCAGCATTTGGAGGCAGAGGCAGGTCAATCTCTGAGTTCAAGGCTAGCCTGGTCTACTGAGGGAGTTCCAGGACAGCCAGGGTGGCACAGAGAAACCCTGTCTAGAAAAACAAAAACAAAACAAAACCAACAAAAAGACATTGAGCCCAGGGTCTTATAGACACATCCTAACCAACTATCCTCTCCCCCCTTTGTTTTTGGAGAAAAAGTCTTCATAAGTGGTACAGGCTGGCCTTGAAGTTTTGAAATCCTCCTTCCTTGTCCTCCTGGGGTAGCCGAGATTACAATACTGCTCATTAAGTATTTTTCTTGGACTCCATTACTTTAACAAACATTTACTGACCCACGTGCATGCTGGCTCATACCTGTAATCTGAGCAGTTGGAAGTTTAAAGGCAAGGGGATTACTGTGAGTTCCAGGCCAGTCTGGGCAAATGGTGGTGACTACCTTACAAAACCCCAAACTGACCGAGGGGCCCTGGCACATGCCCGTAATTCTAGGTCTTGGGGGAGGGGCAGAGGCAGAGGCAGGAGGGTCAGGAGTTCAAGGTGGTCTGCTGCTAGGAGTTGAGGATTGCCCTGCGCTACTCAAGACCCGTTCTTAAAAACAAAATAACATCAACCCCTTCCAAAAATGATTATTGAGTCCACGCCCCTTGCGACGTCCTCCTGGGGACACCGCTCTCTTCCTTGCACCCAACTGCATGCGTTTCTTGAAAAATCCATGTAACCACTGCTGCTCGAGGCGCTTTTGTCCCCGTACCTTACGCCCAACAGTTAACAGTAATGCACGGTCCCTTCCCTCCCGTGCAACCAGGACATGGGTGCCCCCCCCCCCCGCCATCCATCACCCCAAAGGCTGAACCTGTGGCCCCTCCCGCTGCAGGGTCCCAGGGAAGGGGGCTGGGCACGAGGACCGCGCTCAGGAGCGGGGTGGGGGTGGGGTGGGGCGGGTGGGGGTGGGTAGGGGGGTGCTGAGCAGCACGGGGGGGGGCAGCAAGGGGAGCCCGCGGTGGGGACCCAGCTCAGGAGACGGGGAGGGGCCACGTCCATGCCGCCAGCCCGTGGTTACCACAGCCTTGAGCCGAATCGCACTCAGCCAGGAGAAGGGCCCAGGGGAAAGGGCGACACAGTGGCGAGGAGGAACGGCCGGCTCGAGCTGCTTTTCCCGCTCCTTCCCGCCAGGGCCAATGAGCTCCGAGCGAAGCGCCCCGGGCTGCGCGGCGCGGCCAATGGGGTCGGGGGCGCTGCGCCGGCGGCCCGCCCCTTCCCTTCCTGCCCGCCTCTCCACGGCAACAAATCCCAGCAGCCAATAGCGCGTCGAGTTGAGTCGCGCACACACGCCGCCGCCCGCCTTCTCTCGCCAGACTGCGCCTCCCCGCGGGGCCAGGTAGCCAATGGGGCGTCGAATGACCGGGGCCAGAGCGAGGCTGCTGCGGCCCCGCCCCCGCCCCGCCCCGCCCCCGCCCCGCCCCGGCCCCGCCCCGGCCCCGCCCCCACGGCCTGAGGCGTTGGCTCCCGCCCACTGCGCGTGCGTGCGTGTGTGCCTGCGCGTGCAACCTCACATTTCTCCCCCCCAACACCCCTGGGCCTGACGCTTGGGCCGCTTGTGTTTTCCGTTCCATGTGTGGTGTTTAATGCGGGCGCTAGCCTGCCTTGTGTCACACACACACGTCTGGGTCACAGCACTGGTGTGTCGGGCATTCCAGGCTGAAGAAGGCCGCCCAAGTGGCTTCCAGCTGCGCTGCTATGCAGAGGCCGCGCCCTGAAGCCCGAAAGGTGCCTTGTGCCCGGCCCCGGGGGCGGGGGTTTGGGGAGGGGGACCCGGGCACAGGGCAGGGGCGGGCTGGCCTTGCTTGAATGGTGGGTCACAGCCCCTGAGCACTAAACAGGGACGAGGGAGCACGGCGGGAACAGATACATAAGCGGTTGGCCTTGGCCTGGCACTTGGCAGCCATCTTGCTATTCACAACAACCCCCGGGGATGGAGGAGGCGGTCACTAGGTTTTTGTGAATGTGGAAGCGGGCAGAGACTTCGAGAAACGCGCAGAAGATCCCCCAGCCCCCAGCTAAGAGTGGGGAGGTTGCCTGGGAACTTTGTGGACCCTCCCGCACGGCTTTTAAGACTTTCCCATTCCTGGGCTGGAGAGATGGCTCAGCCATTAAAGGCTAGGCTCACAACCAAAACCATAAGAATTTCCCATTCCTCCCTTTCACTCCCCGACCTTCCCATAGGCAGCCGTCCTAAGATGGTTAGTGTGTTTCCGGTTTTATGTGTGATTTCCAGAGATGTGTAGTGTTTGGTGGGCAGGCTATTTTGCGGGTGTGGGGATGTCTTATTTAAAAAAAAAAAAAAAAAAAGAGTACTTTGCTTTTAGGGCAATCCGTGTGCCACGTGTACATCTGTAAATATTTTTATTTTATTTTATTTTTTAATTTGTTGTGCACTAGTGTTTGGCCTGTCTGCTGTATGTGTGATGGAGTCAGATCCTTTGGAATTGGAGTTACAGACAGTTGTGTTGTGAGCTGTTAACTTAAGTGCTGGGAATTGAACCTGGGTCCTCCGGAGGAGCAGCCAGTGCTCTTAACTGCTGAGCTATCGCTCCAAGGCTGTCCTGGAACTCAGAGATCTGCCTGCCTCTGAGCGATCAAAGGTATAGGCCACCACCGCCCAGCTGCATGAATATATCTAATTAATTGCTTCTAACTGTGTGTGATAGTCCATGGTGTGCCTGTCTGTAAGTTGTGCACTCTGTGAGATGTTCCTTTTGCCCAAGCCCACCATCACAAAAGTGATTCCTCCTCATACATTGGAGGGTGGAGATTTTCATTATGTGTAGCTAGAGAATGTACCAGAAGTGGGTGTCTACAAACCTAATTTGACTGTATGGACTTCTCCCTGCAGTAGGCTTGAGGCACCGATTGGAATTCCCAATTCCTCTTTTCCCAGGACTCCCTTTATCCTTCCCTCAGTCACTCCATGAACAGCAGAGTACAGAACAGCCTTTATCACCACACGCCTGCTAACACTTGCCTTTTCCCAGCTTTCTGATTGCTGTCTGCCCTTGAGGTGTATAATGAGCATACATTTTGCAAGATGATTGCATTTCCCAGGTTACCATTAGGTGTGAGCAGCTCTTCCAGTGTCTTTACTCTTAGGAGGATAGTTTCTTCACAGGCTGAGCCTAGGCTCACTCTCTTTTTTTCTTGATGGTGAGAAGGTCTTGTTGGTTTAAAGTATTGTATATTTTCTTGTGCCAGTTTGTGTAGTTTTTGTCGTTTTGTTTACTTGTGACATAGGGTTTCATGTAGCCTAAGCCAGCCTTAAACTTGTTATGTAGTTCAAGGTGATCCTGAACTTCAGGTTCTCTAGCAGCCCCCCCCCAGTGTTGGGATTATAGGCATATGCCACCATGGTATAGTAGCATGACATTGACACAGGCACAGTTATGTAATGAGGCCATATTTAGTTTCTTACAGATTTTATATGCATTCCTGTGTGTAAGTGATAGACATCATCATTATTGTTCAGTTCTAAATACTATTTTTAATTTCGCTGCCAATGGACCTTGTATTTTTTTCAAATATCTTAAATTTTTGTTTTTATATTCCAATCTCAGTTCCCCTTCCCTCCTCTCCTCCTGCTCCCTCCCTCCTTCCCCCCATCCCATCTCCCATCCACTCCTCAGAGAGGGAAAAGCCTCCCCTAGGATGTCAGTTAGTCTGTCCCATCACCTCATTGAGGCAGGACCAAGGTGTCCCCCCCCCATGTCTGGCTGACAAGGCATCTCTCCGTAGAGATTGGGCTCCACAAAGTCAGCTTATGCATTAGTTAGGTCTTGGTCCCACTGCCAGTGTCCTCATGCACTGCTGAAGCCACACCATTGTCACCTGTACTCAGGGGTCCTCGTTCAGTCCTATGCCGGTTCCCCAGCTGACAGTTCGGAGTCAGTGAGCTCTCACCAGCTCAGGTCAGCTGAGTCTGTGGGTTTCCCCATTATCGCGGTTTAATAAGGATCAGGATAAACAATTAGGCCGAACATATGTTTATTCAGGGAGAAATAGCTCACAACATAGACAGGTGAACACCAGCAGGTTCCTGCTTCCAAGAATGCCTCCAGAAGTCCTCCTGTCCCTTGCTGCTTGCAAGAGAGCGTTCTCCCGCACCTCCTCAGACCTAGTAACCCAGGTCACTTCCGTCCCTGGCTCCACCCCCCAGTGGGTGTGGTCAGTGCCACAGGAGACAACGTGAATACCCCACTACACCCCATCATGGTCTTGACTCCTTTGTTCATATCATCGAACCTCACTCACTTCGATTGTGCTTCAGGAGGTCGGCCCAATGGTTAGTTACAGATCTCTGCATCTGCTTCCATCTGTCTCTGGAACAATCTAGCTTCTCTGGGGTTGTGGATTGTAGGCTGGTTGTAATTTGCTTTATGTCTGGTACCCACTTATGAGTGAGTACCTACTATATTTGTCTTTCTGGGTCTATGTTACCTCACTAGGGATTTTTTTTTGTCTAGTTCTGTCAATTTGCTTGCAAATTTAGAGATGTTATTGTTTCTTACTGAGGAATAACAGTTCTAAATACTTTTTAATTTCCTTAGTAAACAAAAGGGATTTGAGAGTTAATTAACATTTACTCTCTCACAGGCTTTTTGTGCTTGAGACAGGGTCTCATGTACTGGGTTTGTTTGATTCTTTGGCCTGGCTGACCTTAAACTTAGGTCGGCCTCCAGTGTGCTGGAGCTACAAGTGTGCAGCAGCGATCCACCCTGCTTGGTTCACACAGTTCTGCTCCTCAGTTTGCTGTTTTGATGTCCTGTACATGGTGGGTCTTTGGGTCAGCACTGTGGCTAGAGGGAGAGGGCCTAGGCAATACCACGAGAGGCGTGCTTTGAAGAGCCTCGCCTTTCCAGGGTGGTGGCGGTGCAGGCCTTTAATCCCGACACTTGGGAGGCAGAGGCAGGCAGTTAGAGGCCAGTCTGGTCTACAGAGTCCCAGGGCAGCCAGGACTGTTACATAGAGAAACCCTGTTGGGGGCGAGGATGGGGTAGGGGAAGTAGATAATGCTGGGTTCCCACAGAGATGGGAAACCTGTGTCATTGAAGGTCTCAAGGGAGCCCATACCACAGCAACTAACATGGTCAATTTTCTTTAGAAACAGTGACCCATAGGCAAATGAACAGAGAATTCAGGGACTGACAAGAAACAAACTTGAGACTCCATCAGAAATTGGCTCCAGACTGATCTGTCGCATTCAGGACCCTGACACAGAAGCATGAGACTCCGGGATCTGAGATCTCTGCAGCTGCTGTGCCTCTTAGAGGCCATCTCTTTATTGCCTTGTATGTCCTGTGGGGGCTGTGTGCTACAAGGCCCCAAAATGTGGGAGGCTGGCTGAACCTATGTACTGGTGGGCTGGGTCCTCTCAGGGGACAGGGTTCCTGTGTGCTGATGTTAAGAAGGTGATGTGGAAAGCTGGGCAAGATCCCTTTAGTCCCAGTGTTCGGGAGGCTGAGGCAGGTGGATCTTTGTGAGTTCAAGGCCAGCCTGGTCTACAGAGCGAGTTCCAGGACAGCCAGGGCTACACAGAGAAACCCTGTCTCAAAAACCCAAACAATAAACAACAAAACAAAACAAGCCAAAACAAAGCTATTACAACACAAAGGTGGTGTGGGAGGCGGACGACTGGAAGAGCATTCTCTCTTTAGGGACCGGAGCTCTTCTGTGCTATGAGGCCACAGCTTCGGCCTTCAGAGCTGTGACCTTGCATAACTGGAACTGGCTTCTGTTGAGGAGCATGGTGTGTAAGCTGAGAGAGGGCTGCGAGGAGACGATAGTGTTCATTGAGACAGGTGATATACCTCCTCCTGCTCACCCTTCTGCTTGCCCCCCTTCTTAGCTATCCTTCCGACAGCCAGGATTGGGATTGCACATGCACACTCACATTCGAACACAAGCATGTACACAAGCACACCTGTGTACAGATCGATACTAGAAGCATAGTGCTGATTATTTTAGATAGCAGCATGACCGGCCACATGCACAAAATAAAAAGGTATGCTTGTGAGACACTTCCCTTTCCTTCCTCGAGGGCACACGAAGTGACTGCTTTGCGGGAGGTTAAGGAGTCAAAGCGAGGGACAGGGATTACTGGCCAGAACGGGGTGGGTCCCAGTCAGATGCCTAGTGTAGGATGCAAGTGGACAGGTCCCTGGGGGAGAGGGGAGGATGGAGACATAGGGGCCAGGGCAGCAGAGGGGCTCCGTGAGAAGGATTAGGAGACACAGGTAAAGACCCCGGCTTCCCTGCCCCATGCAGCTACAGTGAGTGGGCACCGGAAGGGGCAAAGCTGGGGCCAGAAGGACCCAGCAAATAGAGGGGCAGGGAGGGAGGCACCCTGAGAGGGTAGTGACACTTACTGCATCTCTCTAATCCCGTTCCTCAGGGACCAGTAAGGGCATTGTGAGTTTTAAAGGCTGCACCACAGCCTTATCCCACCCCCCACAAATCTCCTACCTCGTGTCTCCACCGGGAGTGTCCGTGTCCTCCTACAGCCATGTCTGCAGGACCTATCTGTGCAACAATATAACCAACTTGGAGCCTTTTGTGAGACTCAAGGCCAGTGAGTCTAAGCACCCAGTCCCTTCCACCAAATTTTGTCCAACCTGTGTGGGCAGGCACGACCAGGAGTGTCTTCCAAACTTCGTCACCACCGAGACCTGCCCCTTTGCTGCATCTTCATGCTACAGCTCCACCTTAAATTTCCAGGCAGGTGAGAGAAGAGCTTCCATCGAGTGAGTGAGCATGTGCGTGTGTGCGCGCGCGTGCGTGCGTGCGTGTGTCTGTGTCCTGTAACTGTGGTGTGTACACCCCAGAGACTGGTGGGACCCCGAGGTGGGATTCGGTGTACAGGAGACTAGACACATGAACTCCAAACAAGAATACTGTTCTTGGTGTCCAAATCTGTGGTGGGAAGGCAGGTGTCCTGACTGGTGAGGGCTCTAGGAAGGGAGCAGGGCCCATGAGTCTCGAGAGTGTCCCTGATTCTTCTCTTTCTTCCTTTAGGGAATCTCAATACTACTTTCCTCATAATGGGCTGTGTTCGTGAATCACACAAACTTTTAGCAAACTTTCAGCATATTGGGAGCATCAGAGTGACCGAGGCCATCAACATCTTAGACAAGTCTGAGGCTGTTGATGCGGGGCACTGTAGTCAGGGCCCTCCTTGGACCATCCTCTTATGCCCTCTGTTCATCATCAGGGCCTGACCACCTGAGAGACTGGAAAAGTAGCAGACCCCCTTGCCTACTGGAATAAAACCGCAGAATTACCCTTCTGCTTTGTCCTGTGGTTTGTGAGAGTGTGGGAGGGAGGGGCATGGGGGCAGAAGACTGAGTAAGGGGGGTTCCTAGAGTATGGCTGCTTTCTACTCAGAAGCCAGTCCTGAGGAGCTAGAGCTGCCAGCGGAAGGGGAAGGTGTAAGTCATGGCTCCACCCTATGGAACTTAGGTCTGGAAAGATGCTTCTGTAGGGAGGGGCAGAAGGCAGGCAGGTGTGGACTCTCATCCATACCGTCCACCTCCTCCCTTCTCTGGATGGGAAAATTACAACTTCCCTCCCTCCCTCCCTCCCTCCCTCCCTCCCTCCCCTGTTATGAGTATTTTTTCTGCCAGTCTGGTCCCACAGTCATGCCAGCCCCAAATAACACACAGAGACGCTGTGTTAGATATAAAGCTGTTACTAATGTTTTATTGGCTAGCTCTGTCTTAAATATTAACCCATTTCTGTTACTCTAAGTGTTTCCCCATGGTCTCATCTTACCGGAGAGAGGGGCCGACATTCTGCTCTCCCTGTCCTCCATCTTAGATCTCCTCCTACCTCTCCCGGAATCCTTGTCTCCTAGTCCCACCTATCTTGCTTTCCTATTGGCCAACAGTGCTTTATTCATTAACCAATAAAAGAAACACATTTACAGAATGACGTCTCCCATCATTCCTGCCTCTGTCCACGCCCTCGCCCTCTGTCCCTCCCCCTCCCTCTCTTCATTTCCTTCCTTACCTCTCAGTGTCTCCCTCTGTCCTGTTGCTCTTGCCCCTCTCTACCCTACCCTTCCTCTCCCCTGGAGCTGACAGTTAATCCAGGGCCTACACAAGCAAGTCAGAAGGTCTCCATTGAGCCAGGCCCCTGCAGCTCCCCGGAGTTCTTTAGATAGACACGTTTTCTTCTATTGGAATGCCACAGCACCTTGTGTTACTGGATGCACAGGAAAAAAAAAAAAAGGCAGAGATGGGGGTTCTGAATCTCCCTTTGTAGATCAGGCTGGACTCGAACTCACAGAGATCTGTCTGTCTCTGCCTCCCAAGTTCTGGGATTAAATGTGTACGTCGCCATGCCCGGACTTTTCTTCTGTTTTTCAATCCTCAAACCAAACCATATATTGTTAACAGTTTTGGCAGTTGCGAACCATGTGAGGATCGATAGGTGTAGGGCAGGGTTGGAAGAGCAGGTGGCTCCTGGCCACGGTGCTGTCACCCTGGGAATGTTGTGAACTTATGAAAGAAAGGTTAAAAAGCCCTGGGCAGGATGTAGATGAGTAGAAACACATTAAATTAAGGTAAAGGAGTTAGAGGGACAAGCCTACGCTAAGGCCAAACATTCATAATTAATAAGTCTCCATGTCTTTATTTGGGAGCTGGTTGGCGGCCCAAAGAAAATTCCAGGTAGAGGCTGGGAAGAGAAGATCTCTGTTTTCAGAGCTCAGCCCGTTCTATCTTCACACCCACGCCCCCTGTCTCCCACCGTCTGTCATCTTCACACCCACCCCCCCCCCGTCTCCCACTGTCTGTCATCTTCACACCCACGCCCCCTGTCTCCCACCGTCTGTCATCTTCACACCCACGCCCCCTGTCTCCCACCGTCTGTCATCTTCACACCCACGCCCCCTGTCTCCCACCGTCTGTCATCTTCACACCCCCCCCCCCCGTCTCCCACTGTCTGTCATCTTCACACCCATGCCCCCTGTCTCCCACCGTCTGTCATCTTCACACTCACGCCCCCTGTCTCCCACCGTCTGTCATCTTCACACCCACGCCCCCGTCTCCCACCGCAGGACCTTTGTTCTCACCGGTTGTCCCAGGGCTCCCGGATGCTCGTCCCTCTAGATTCCTTGTCTGACCCTTCCGGTCTCCTGCTGCTCCGTTTCTCCCTTCCGTTCCTTCCGCCTCTTCTTGTGTTTTTTCTTGTGATGCCTGATTTTCCCACTAGGAGACAAGGAGATATGAAGGGCCCTTTGTCCCAGGCCACCGGGGATGGGAATGACATCACTGGCAGGGTGGGGCTTAGGGAGCAGGAGGCCTTTAAGGACCCCAAGGGTTAGTGAGAAGCAGAAATGGAGTCTAGAGACAGACAGGTGAAGGAAAACCTTTTCTGTTCCCAAGCAAGGAGGACGTAGAAGAGGAAATGCCACCATACCTGTCAAGTTTCTTGAAAAATAGGAAGTACGACAGGCCTCCTAGTATAGCCAGCCCAGCCAGAATTTCAACAGCCAAGGCAGCAACAGTGGGGGCTGATACCGGGACTTTCCTTTCTGGTGGTTCGTCTGTCATGGAAAGAAACCAGGGGAAAGAGAATGTTACATCTGCACGTACATGGGGACATTCGCTCAGCATGGGGCATGCCCCCTATCTGTCCCTTCTCAGACTGCACCTTCTTTACTGAGGTTGGCTGGGTGAGGGGGAGTGTGAGTCTGGATGACAGAGTGAGCTCTAGAGCAGCCTGGGTTAGAGAGAGAAACCCTGTCTCAAAAAACCAGATCAAGACCCCGAGTCCAACTGCATCCCTGTAGCTAAATGATTTGTTTTTACGTGTATTTCTTTTGTGTTTGTGTGTGTTTGGGCATGTGCCACGGACTGTGTGAGGACATCAGAGGGCAACTGTGGGGTTCTGTTCTCTCTACCACGTGGGTCCTGGGGACCAAACCTAGGCAGCTGCGCTTGAATTCAGGCAGCTTTGTCTGGTGAAGTGTCCTGACCGCCCCTCAGTTACTTCTGACGAAGGTCCTGAGACTCAAATGCAGAGAGAGATCCCCTTTCCACAGACAATGTTTAGAAAACCAAATAGCTTTCCCTAGTACCACCTGAAAAAAAAAAAAAAACCCGCGCTAAACGGGCTTCATGACATTGGGTTTGCCGGTGCTTTCTTCACTGTGACAGCAAAGCAGAGGTGTCAACATTCAGCATCCTGAGAACGGAAGACTTCTGGGCATCAAGGGCGTGTCAGCCATCTGATTTTGCACTTTTGCAGGCTTCCTTTGCATGCTTGTCCAAAATCATTCAGACACAACAGAACTTCTGTCTCATGAAGAACAGGTCCTACTGTGGACCTCTGCAAAGCCACTGCAAAGCCTCTGTCTGTCCCAAGTGTCTTCCAAATGTCAGCGGCTCTGTAAACTGGCTATTGAATGTTACCTCCACACCCCCAACTTTCTTAGAAATAGCTGTCCTGGGGCTGGAAAATTGTTCAGTGGTTAGAGCACTGACTGCTCTTTCAGAGGAGCCAGGTTCAGTTCCCAGCACCCACATGGCAGCTCACAACTGTCTATAACTCAAGTTCCAGGGGATCTGACACCTTCATACCAATGTATATAAAATAAAATTAAGTAAGTTATTAAAAAAAGAAATAGCTTTCCTTCTGCCCTCTTCCACATCCTAATACTGCTGGGGATTTTGTGTAATGGTAACAGTATCCCGAATAGGTCCTATAAGCCAGTCTAGCCCAGACTGATTCTGTCATAGGCCCTCAGGTGATACAGCCTGTGTCTCAGGGTGGATGGGTGGTTATATCACTCAAGTTTCTCCTTCCCTGGTCCTCAGGCTGAGCCTTCCACACTCAGACCAGACTCCTCACAATCCAGGCTCTGGTTGGAGCTTTCACTGTTTGTTTGGAAGCCTTTCCCAATTCAAGCAGTTCAGGGGCAGAGTGTTCAGTGATCATCATAGTGTCTTGTACTGGACCTCCATTACATCTCCTCCTCTGTGCTGAAACACGCCATGCCCTGTGTTAAAGGTTAGAACTGCAGGGTGTCTATCACATCCATCATGTTCTCTTCCTCCTCATTGTAAGTTGCTCCCATGGGTCCTAAATGAAGCTGTAAGCTCCAAATAAACTTTCTTCTATAGTTGCCTTGGTCACTGTGTCTTCACAGCAATAGAAAAGTAACTACAACACTACCCCATACCAAGAAGAAAAAGATGGCTACTCTGGGAGCTGCCAAATGGACATGCCGTCCTCAGTGTGCTTGGTTTGGGTTTCATGTCTTATTACTTATTGCATGGAATATCATTGGCATATCAAACAGGTGTGCCATTCCATGTCCCATGAGGAAAGCCAGCCATCAGGTTAATGCTTCACAGAATTCCCCCATTGCAGTGGTCAGCCTGGGTTGCCCATCTTGATAGCCCTTTCTGGGCTTGCAATCATCTCTCCTCAAACTCACCTTTGCTTCTGTCAGGCCCTGTTCAGATGCCAGCTGTGTTGTGTGACTTCTCCAGAGGAGATGTCAACAAATGCCAGACCAAACTATTTCCTCAACTCTGGTTTACTGAGACAGGGTGTTTTAAGGGTTACTTTTACGAACATGGGTGACTGGAAGACAGCCATATCCCAGACAAGCTCATCTCAGCCCAGGGCTCCCTGTGCCACTCAGGCAGCTTGGCAGGTGGGAAAGCCTACACTCACAGACTCTATACAGACTACACAGTTATTCTATACGACCTCAGGGCATTGTTAGTTTCAGGAGCTTCCTGAGCCTTGTGAGTTTGCTTTCCTTCTGACCCCAACCAAATGATTATCTCAGATGAAACAGCTGCCCAGCTAAAGAGCTGAACTTCTATACAGATAGAAGACTGAATAGTGCTCACTAGGGACTGGGTGTGGTGAGGAAACACCAAGGAGCTGTTGTAGCAGGGTATAGATTTCACATTGGAAAGAGGAGCAGGTTGGAAGTAACCATAGAGAATGGTAGTGTATCTCCCAGAGCAGCCAAGATGAATTTCAAATGTCTCACCATAACAAATGGCAGACAACTGAGGAAGTGGGTGTCAAATAGCTTGATTTAACCATTCTGTATTGTGCAAAGGCATCAAAGATCACATTCTACTGATTTAACCATTCTGTATTGTGCAAAGGCATCAAAGATCACAGTCTACTGATTTAACCATTCTGTATTGTGCAAAGGCATCAAAGATCACATTCTATTTCTTCAGACTATGTACAATTGGGATGCCAGTTAAAGCACTTTTTTTTTGAGACAGGGCTTGCTTTGGAGCCTGTCCTGGAACTCACTCTGTAGACCAGGCTGGCCTTAAACTCACAGAGATCTGCTTGCCTCTGCCTCCTGAGTGCTGGGATTAAAAGCGTGCACCACCAACACCTGGCCTCTTTTAGCACTTTTAAACACTAATAGACCAAGTATCAGGAAAGTGGAAAGACCATTTTCAAGTGCTAAAAGTGTTACTTAATGTACACATGTATACATGGGCCAAAATACATAAAGAACTCTCATAGTTCAACAACAGTAACAATAAAAACTAAAAGCAGCTCAATTTAAAAAGAAGGGAAGGACCTGGCATAAAAATAAAATAAACAGGCTGGAGAGATGGCTCAGTGGTTAAGAGCACTGGCTACTCTTCCAGAGCTCTTGACTTCAGTTCCCAGCAACCCCAATGGTGACTCCCAACCATCTATAATGAGATCTGGTGCCCTTTTCTGGCCTGCGGGCAGAACACTGTGTATATATTAAATCTTTAAAAACAAAAACCAAATGGACAATAAACAAATGAACTGCTCAGAGTCACTAGGTCATCATGGAAATGTTTCCCAAACCACAGTATCATACTGCTCCACATCAGGGTAGTTATCACTAAAGAAAACAAAACATTAAAGAATTGGAACACTGGCAGCCACTGTTGAAACCTGGAATGTATAGGGTCTTACACACACACACACACACACCACACATCACACACATCACACACACCATACACCACACACACACACACCATACACCACACCACACACACACACCACACACACACACCATACACCACACACACACACACCATACACCACACCACACACACACCATACACCACATCACACACACATTACATATACACACACTCATACACCACACACACACATATACCACCACACACACTTGGTGCATAATGGATAAGCTCTGAAAGATTACGCTAAGTTAAGGAAAGCAGATGTAAAAGGACTGTTAATCAAAGGGGTCAAGACCACGCTGAGGAAACCCACAGAAACAGCTGACCTGAGCAAGTGGGAACTCATGGACTCCAGTCTGACAACTGCAGAACCAATATAGGACCAAACCAGGCCCCTGAACGTGGGTGTCAGCTAGGAGCACTGGGCAGTCTGTGAGGCCTCTGACAGTGGAACCAGGATGCATGGACAGACTTCTGCAGCACATTTCCCATGGAGGGATACTCCCTTAGCCTAGAGACACGGGGGAGGGCCTAGGCCTGCCCCAAATGACAGATTTTTATGGCCTCATGGAAGGCCTCAACCTCCCTTGGGAGTGGATGGGGGATGCGATGGGGGGTGGGTTCATGGAGGTCATGGGAGGGAGAGGGAGCTGGGATTGATACATAATATAAGATTGTTTCTAATTTAAATAAAATTTATTAATTAAAAAAGGGCTATTTACGTGTTACTCTGCTCACGTGAGTCGGGTAGTTGGACAACTTGTAGCATGGTAGTTACAGGGGCAGGGTGGGGAGTTATTGTCTTTAGTGTGACTGTGTGTGTTCATGTGTGCACATGTGTGTGGAAACCAAAAGCTGAAGTTGAGAACTTCCATAGCCCTCTTCTCAATTTCTTTTCCTCTGTCTTCTTTTGAGAGTTTCAAAATCTGTAGTTGACCGACTGGCTGGATCAGCTGGCCAGTGATTTCTAGGAATCCTCCTGTCTCTTGCCATTTCTTCCCACACCCTGGTTATACACGGTGAGGGTGATTCACACACATGCCTGTCGCTGTCCCCAGAACTAACGTTTAATGACCATAAAGGCTTGTATGTTAAAATGATGAAGTTATGGGGATGGGCCATGGCTACACAGCACTGCAAATACTGCAGATGTATTTAACACCACTGAAGACAGCTAAGACAGGAAATACACACACACACACACACACACACACACACACACACACACACATCTCAACATACAGAAAAGAATCCTGTGTGCAAGGTCACACTGTGGATGGCAAACACAGAAGAAGAAATAACGAGAGACAGTCTTCTCCATTCACAGATTCCATCCAGAGCCCTGGACCAAGCCAAACACAGGTTAGACATATTCAGAAGAATGCAGATGTGGGGTGCACATCTGTAGCAGCAGCACCTGGGAGGTGGAGGCAGGACGATCAACAGCTCAAACAATCACCATCTACATACGGTGAGGAAGCCTGGGCTGCATGGGACACTGTCCCCCCAAACAAAACACCCCCACTAAACAAAACAACACAGACCGGCTGTCTCTGCACTGAAAACTGCAGACATTTCCTGGCTTTGTTTCTCACTAACAGTAGCGCTCTTTGCCTGGTGGGGGCGCTGTATCAATGCTGCAATCTGAGCATGACATACGGTGTGTGGGATAGCATGCACACTCACATGCAAATACTGACATGTTTGCAAGGAACTAGAGCATCCATGCACAGGTTCTGATATCCTGGCTTCCTGGAGCCAGTTACCCATGGGCACCAAGGCCCGAATGCCTGACTCGGAGCTTAACCCCAACCACTTGGTAAGTGGGTTTACAGTTTTGGTTTTATTTGCACTCAAACTATTTAGAGACAGGGTCTTGCTCCGTAGCCCAGGCTGGCCTTACTCGCCATCCTCCTGCCTCAGCCGCCCAAGTGTGGGGTAATCAGTGGGTGCTATACTGCCTCACTCTTGCGGTGTCTCAGGTGGAAGCCATCTCCCAGTGCCTGTCATCTATTTTGAACAGTATCCGTAAGGAATCCCCCCCATGGATATGGTAGAGTATACAATAGCTTAGTGGCGGCGGCGGCGGCAGTGGTGGTGGTGGTGGAGACCCTGAGTTGGATCCATATAACTCGGGCAGAGGTGGAAGGAGGGAACCAACTCCACAAAGCTGTCTTCTGACCTCCACAATGCACCAAGGCACTGCGCTCTACCCAATAATAAGAAAATACAATCCACCAAGTGCCCTGTAAGATGTGGGAGGAAGAGAACTTGGGTCACTCACAGAGTACAGCCAGGCTGACTGGGTCGCTCAACCTGGAGATGAAGGGGTTGGAAACCTCACATTGGTATGAGCCAGCGTCATGCTTTGTGATGGGACCTATGGTGAGCCTTCTGTTGTTCAAGGAGAACTTCATCCTGTCTGTGGCCTTCAGCCTCTCGTTATTGAACGTCCACCATATGGAAATGCCAGGATTCTTTGATTCGCAGATCAGGTCCACAAAATGGTGTTCTAGGACAGTTTTATTTTTGATTTGGATATGGGGCCTCAGCAATTTCTCTGCGAACAAACAGAAGAGTGTCTTTCTGTAAAGGTTTCAGCTAGCTCGCGGGGGGCCAGAGTATAAAGTGTAAGATGGCTCAGTAGTTGTTCCTAACACTGGAGATGCCCGGTTTTGGTCCAGGAGACAATCTATAGTAAGAGTAAGAGACCCACTTGGACCCACAATCTACTGTGCCCCCTGACTTGACCCGAGGGCATGCCTGTAGCTTTCATATTAGGAATCTCTTCTAGGCTCCAATGTCCAACATCTCCCCCACCGGGGAACACTTTCCTCCTTTCAAATGCTCGTCAATTGTAAATTTCCATACAAAACAATACGTTTCATTATGACACTTCCAAGATGTAGGTGCCATTACACTTTACTCACACTCATTGTGCCGTTACTCTCATTGGCCTCTTCCTTCTTGCTGGCCTCTCTGTCCCGCCAGATTGTCCCCCTTCACGTCTCCTGTCCATAGACACACACCTACACATGAGCGTGTGTATGGGTTTTATCCTTAGCGCCAGTGTCCATGGGTGTGCCGGCTTAGAGGGTTTTGGAGTATACACTCAATTGTCTGTGGTCCTGGCTTTAGTTTTGAAGACCTCTACCAATTCCACAGTAATTTAAATTTCCACACACAGCGTGTGAAGTCGCTTTCCTCCTACAGTTTCCCCCTGATGACAGCCGTTCTGAGGTGAGATGGAATCGCTGAGCTTTGTATTGCATCTCCCCGTTGCTAAGTCTTGTCTGTCGTTCATGTATGCTTCTTTTCTATGACCACTTGTTTGTTCACCAGAGGCACCGTCTCAAATCACTTGCCCATTTATAGATGGCATGACTGAATTTTTTTTTTGGTCCATAATTAAAACTTTATTGGAAACTTAACCCCAAACAGGAGCTCAAACAATATGGAATGCTCCAGGAATGTGGGTCTCATGCTCGTGGAGGGCCATGCTAATCTCCCCTCTTTCTGGCTCTGGTATATACGCTGATGGGAACTTTGTGCCACGCAAGTGCATTGCGCAAGGTGGCAGAAGTGGTTCATGGGCATTTTGGAAATTGTTGTAAAAAAAAATCTTTTAATTTTAGGTAAAAGTAATTGAATGAGTTTTTCAATTTTATAAATGGTGTGTTAAGAGCACAGGCTGCTCTTGTAGAGGACGTGGGTTTGGTTCCCAGCACCCACATGTACCAGGGGATTGAATGCTCTCTTTTGGCCTCTGTGGGCACCAGGCATGTAAGTGATCAGACATACATGCACGTAAAACATGCCTTCCCCCCCACACACACCAAAAAACAAAAACAAAACAAAAAACCTCAGTTTGGTAATTCAAGTAGCAGTTTGGTATTTTCTTTTATTTAAAAGATTTTACTTATTTGTGTGTATACGTATGTGTCTGTGTGTGTGTGCGTGAATGAGTACATGGATACATGTGTTCAGCGTGATCTGGAGAGCTCAATGAATCCCCTGGCTTTTGTGAACTGCCAGTGCCCAACAAAACTCAGGTCCTCTGTGAGAGCAGCAGATATTCTTAACCACTGAGCCATCTTTCCAGCCCCTCAAACAGCCATTTAAAACACTAAGCATCCAAACAGAGTGGAATCCAAAGATATATTAATTTCATACACACCAAACAAGAAGTGACAATAGGAAATAAGGAAGGTCTTTGTCTCCCACAACTGAACAAACACGTTTGTGTGGGAGCAAAATCCTTTCTTTTTTGAAAACAGGATCTCATGAGCTCACTCTTCAGCCATGGCGCCGACCTTGAACTCCAGATCCTCTTACTGACACCTCCCATGTGCTGAGATTACAGGCTTGTGTTACCATGCCCAGCTATAGGACATTGTATGGACCATACGAAAACGTAGTGTATTGTGTGTCAGAGCCGAACATGAATTGGGGCCATGCAGTGCATGTGTGTACACTGCATGAAGGGAGTCAGGGTACAGCGCGTGCCCATGCTGTGAGGACCAGCTCAGGGCCATTGCCCGTGAGGGTCTTCACTGATGTCTGGTGGTTGTGGGCTCAGAAACCGCTTGCTGTTGCCAGCCTTCTCGTGCGCTCCTTAGTGCATGTTGACCTTTACTTGGGAAACTGGTGTCTCTTGTGTTCCTTTGGTGGCCACACCTGCTTTTATGTATGCTGGTATGTCACTGTGTCTCTGAAGCGAAAATTAAAGTCAATTATGTGATGGCTCCAGGATGACTCTTTTAGTTAAGGATTCTGGATCTTTTGCAAGTTCAACTAAATTTTTGCCCCCCCCCCACAGGGTTTCTCTGTATTGCTTTGGAGCCTGTCCTGGAACTTGCTCTGTAGACCAGGCAGGCCTTGAAATCACGGAGATCTGCCTCTTGAGTGCTAGGATTAAAGGCGTGCACCACCAACGCCCAGCTAAATATTTGGATTTTTAAAAACTCTATTTCTATAAACAAGCAAACAAACAAACAAAAATGTAACAAGGATTTTGATGAGGAATTTTACTGAATCTATAGCTTGCTTTTGGGGACCCAACCCTATTTGCAATAATTTAGCCAATCATGATAATGTAATATCTTTCTGATTTAAGTGCCCTCAGGTTTTTTTCCCCTTGAATGTTGTAATATAAATTTGAATTGTTCCCCAAGTCTGGTGTTTGAAATATTTGGTCCCCATCTAGTCGTACTGTTATGGAATCTTTAGGATGGATGTGTTCTCTAGCTGGCAGACATAGGTTAGTCATGGTGGGTCTTGGGAAGGCCCTTGTTCTGGTCTTGCTCTCTCTGTTTCCTGACCTCTCAAGATTTGAGCAAGCTAAGGTACAAGCTCACACCACTTTGAACAAAGTATCCCTAACATACATTCCCCTTTTTGCTGGTTAGATGTTGTCAATCTGACACGAGCTAGAGTTATCTTGGAAAAGGGAACCTCAGTTGAGAGTTGCCATCATATTGGCAAGTGGGGCATTTTAAAATTAGTGCTTAATGTGGAAGGACCCAGCCCACTATGAGCAGTGCCAACCCTCGCAAGTGGTCCTTTGTTATATAAGAAAGCAGGCTGAGGCCGGGTGTGGTGGCGCACACCTTTAATCCCAGCACTTGGGGCAGAGGCAGGTGGATCTATGTGAGTTCAAGGCCAGCCTGGTCTACAGAGTGAGATCCAGGACACAGCCAAGGCTACACAGAGAAAACCTGTTTCAAAAAAGCACACGCGCACACACACGCATGCACGCACACACACACACACACACACACACACACACACACACACTTGTCCGCATGCAGGCTTAGCAAGATAGCATGGGGACCAAGGTAGCAAGAGCATTCCTTCATGGCATCTGCTTCTGTTCCTGCCTCTAGGTTCCGGCCTTGTTTGAGTTCCTGCCCTGACCTCCCTCAGGGATGGGCTCTAAACTATAAGCTGAAATAAACCTATTCCTCCCCCAAACAGCTTTGGTTCATGGAACTTTATTACAGAAGTAGAGAATAAGCTAAGGTGCCCTCCATGATGGACAGATCCCCTGAATCTGTTAGTCACGTGTTCACAGAGACCAGAACAACTGGCATAGACAGCTAGGAGTATGAGTGCTGTCTCGGCTGTCACAAGCCTGACCTGGTGTGTGGCAAGCTGTTGATACTGGTTTGTGGGACCAGTGGAAGAATCCAGCTGTGTCAGAGAATGGACTAACCTGTTTGAGGGAGGAGATGGAGGGAGGCACTCATTCAGCAGCATGGGCTGTCCTTGCAAGGAGCAGAGACCAAGCTGTTGTAGCCCCTGCTCAGGTGGGTATGGCTACACACGCCTCTGGCAGGCAGCAGATGTAAAGTCATCCTGAGGTTCTGTTTATATAGAGCTCAAGAGTTCCAGGACTCTTGGAGCCGCAGTGTTTGTCTCTGCCGGCACATATGTGAGCACTCATGCTATACGCTTTCTCTTAGAATTATCTTTCCTGTATCGTAGACCTTGTGAAAATCAGTGTCTTCATTTTCTTTTGATTCTAGGAACTTTTGAGTTCCTTCTCTAGTTTTTCAGTGAGACCGGTGATTCAGAAGTGTTCAGCTGTTAGATCTCCATGCATTTGTATGGTGTCTGTGTTAATTTGTAGGGTTATTCCAAATGGTCTGAGAAGGCAGGAGGCATTGTCTTTAAATATATTCTAGGACTTGGTGTGTGACCTTAAAGTGTGGTCTCTGTTGGAGAGCATTTCATGAGATGCTGAGTGTGTGTATTCCATGTTACCAGGTGGAATGTTATCTCAATATTTGTTAAGTCTGGTCCTTTGTTTCTCGTCTATTGAGAATGGGGCATCGAAGTTATTCTGTATTATTGTGTCTGGGCCTGTCTGTGTCCAATTCTGTTTTTTTTTTTTTTTGTTTGTTTAGTTTTTTGAAACAGGGTTTCTCTATGTAGCTCTGGCCATCCTGGAACTCACTCTGTAGACGAGGCTGGCCTCAAATTTAGAGATCCACCTGTCTCTGCCTCCGAGTGCTGGCATTAAAGGCATGCGCTACCATTGCCCAACTTACTTAAAATTCTTGACGGATCATTCCCTGTGTTGGTACCTTATCTCTTATGGGTAATTTTGCCTTGAAATCTACTTTATACAGGTATAGCAATTCCTCATCTTTGGCTCCTTTTTGGTATGTTGACTTCCATGGATTCACTTTCAGTGTGTGTTTGTGTTTGTCAGTGAGGTATGATTCATCTTCATGTATGTGCATGTGCATGTGTGTGCAGAGGTGTGTGTGTGTGCTCAAGCATGTCTGTGTTTGTCAGGTATGATTCACATAGATAACAGTTGAGTCATCATCATGTTGTGCATGCAAAAGTGTGTGTGTGCATGTGTGTGTGTGTACATGTGCATGCATGCATTTAAAAAACACAATCAGCTAGCCCTCTTTCAAGCAGAGCTTTGGGGCCATTTTCCGGGAGCTATGGGTGAGGTTACTTAGCTGGTGCTTGTAAACTTGCAATTTTATTTTCCTTGTTGGTTGGAATATCAATTATTCTTTTCTGTCCAGATTAGGAATTTACTCGCTGGCTGAGTTGGACATAATTTCATGATTATCCTTTGCCCATTGATCATCCTCATGACATAGGCTCCTCCCTGTGCTCTCCTGGCTGAGACTTGCTCCTTGCCTGGTATTTCTTGTTCCTTTAATGTTACTAAGTGGTCAGGCATTGACATCCTTTGTGCCTGTCTAGGAAGGGTTTTATTTCTCTGTTGACTTTATCTGTCACTTGTAAGAATGTGCATGAATGTTTGCATTGCATGTGTTTATGTGCACCATGTGTGTGCCTGATGCCCTCAGAGGTCAGAAGAGGTTGTCAGATTCCCTGTAACTGGAGTTACAGGTGGTTGTAAACCACCATCTCAGTGCTGGGAACTACACCCAGGTCCTCTGCAAGACCAGCAAGTGCTCTTAACCCCTAACCCTTCTCCACTGATTTTAAAAGACCACGTCACTGAATATAATGATCTTGTGTGTAGATTATTCACTTTCAGGTTTTGAAAACTTTCACTGTTTTCCTGGCTTGCAGGGTGTTTGCTGAGGTGTCTTGATACTCTGATAGGTTTGTCTTTGCAATTGAGTTAACATTTTTTCTCTTGCAGCTTTTTGTAATTTTTCTTTCTTTTATAGCTTTAGAATTTTAGGCATTGATGTATCATGGGGAGGTTCTTTTGTGGTCATATCTCTTTGTGATTCAAAATACCTCTCTGCTTCAGTATCCATTTTGTTCCTAGCTCTGGCATGTGTTCTGATAGAATTCCATTGAAGAGTTTTACCGTGCTTTTAGTTTGTGTCTTAGATTCTTCTAGCCTGGGCATTCTCCAGTCTAGTCTGTTGATCCTGTCTCATAATGGGCCAATGGGCCAGGACAGGGGTACTGTTTGTGGTTCCCTCACCAAATTGGGGTTCCAAATGCCTGTCTTACCTGGCTTTATGTGGGTGTCAGGGATCTGAATTTGTTTCCATCTGTTTGCAGCGGCAAACATTTTATTGGATGAGCCATTTCACTGTACTCTCCCATATTCCTTCCCCTCCCAGGCAGTGACCCCACAGTCACACTGTCTGTTCTCTCTCTGCACCATGTTTCCTAGAGTCCACAACCCATCTTCAGGGGCGGGACCCGGCTTTGAGACGTCTACCTCAGGACTCACTTTTCTTCTTCATTGTACCCCTGACCTCACTGGGGTTCTGGAGTTGATTGGCATCTAACTTTATCCAGACTTGGGTTAGGTCTTTCAGGGTAGTTCCCCACCCATCTTGTCCTACTCTAAATGGAGTCAAAATGGAGCCAATCACCAGGTCAGGGGCAGAGCTGGCAACAGCTGTGAAGTCCTATCCATCATCTTTGTGTTGGGTGGACTGTGTTCTCGTCTCACAGGCAGGGAAACAGTGTGAGCATGCTCCATGCTCCACGCACGGACCTTCCCTTGTAGGTTATGGAGAGTGTAAAGGACAAGGGTAACAGACAGAGGCCCCTACCTCCTCCTCCCCCCTGGGCAGCAATGATGTGGCCCAAGGATTGTGGAATCCATGCTGAACCCCAAGTCAACAAAGAGAAGTCAGAGCAGGCAGGGAAGAATGTCCCCTGGGGAGGCACCGTAGGGGAGGACTGGGGTTTGCTTGCAACTGTGGACATGGGCTGTGGACTTCCTTCCTCTCTCCTCTTTATAGAAACCCATACTGTACCCCAGAGATTGGTCCTGGTGTTATAAGAAGCCACTTACCAACTACTATAACTTCTTTAACTTTGAAATTGTCCTGGCCAGTTTTTGGGTTATTGACGAGGCAGGTATACAGTCCACTATTACTTATGCTGATGGTGTGGATGAAGACCTCTTGGTTAGATTCCCAGGGCTCTCCATTGATATCCCAGGAATACTGTGCTTTAGGGTTAGAGGTTGCCTGGCAGGATAGCCACAGGCTTCGCCCTTCTTCGAAGTATTTGTGTGGGGGAAATATTTTGGGCGTATCTGGACCATCTGGAGGAAAGAGAAAGACTCATGATGGCATCAAAGGATAAAGGTAGAACCTGCTCTTTAGGTCAGTGCATCTGTGCGTCCCTGAGTCAGGTCCCTGACTACAGTTTTCTACCATTGTCCCGGCAGGGTTGTTAATTAAATCGTTGTAAAGCAATTGTTGAAGGGTCCAGGAATAGAAATGTAGAAATAGAAAAATATAAATTTGTAAGCCTAAAGAAATGGGAACTGACAGCCATCAACTCTGTTAGCAAGTAGGGTAGGGATTAACTTTTAACGATGGTTTTCTTTGCTCTGGCTATGACCAAGGGTTAGCTTCTTACAATGGTTTTCTGCTGCCAGGGGGTTAGTTTTTTTTTTTTTTTTAATGATACCCCACCCAGCCATGAGCCAAAGTTACCTTTTAATAAAGGTTTGTATGTGACGCCTAGAATACATCATCTCATCCCACAAACTTTAACCAAATGCTCGTGGGTGACTTTCGGCTTGACATTGCTTCATGTCCTTCCCTGCTATGGGAAACTGGCCATGCCAGAAAAGCTGCAAACACTATTAGCTGGCTGTGAAGTAAATCTGTAGGCTTCTGTAAATACAATTTAGCTGAAACCTCTTTAGGAAAAATTGAAAACCTCAAAATGCAATATGCCTCTAAGCTTAACCTCAAAATTGTAAAAATTCCTTTATCCACACCCAATGTTCACTTCTTACTATAAAAAGGGGCGTGGAACCTAGCCCCATTGCCACAGTTTCAGAAGCCCGAACTCAGACTGTGGTCCCAGTTAGCTGGCAAACTTATTGTGCCCCATGGTGAATTTGGAATGAAGTTTGCTTCAAGTTTCATAGACTTTGGTGGTCTGCCCTCTATTATTTGTATGCCCTGGGTCCAACAATTGTCTCACAAGGGCTCAGGTCCCTCTCTAACATGCATGCACGCACGCACACGGGCATGCGCGCGCACACACACACACACACGGAGGATCTTTCACCCTGTGAATTAAACCGTAAGCATGTGGCTGCCCTGCTTTCCACCACGCAGTGATCTCATACCCGTCCATGCCCCTCCGCCATCTGTCAAAGGCTCGGACCGCCAGGATGTGCGTGGAGCAGACGGCATTGGCAGCCGGGTTTAGGGGCAAGAGTCAGTGTCATAGACCCCAGCATGGATGTGTGCTGGGCAGCTGGGATGCGAGAGGAAGAGAAGTTACTCACAGAAAACATCCAGAGTGAATGGGTTACTCTGAAAGGCACTCAGCGGGTTCCGGACTTCACACTCATAGTCTCCTTTGAGATGCCTGGAGACCTTGAGTAGAGTGAGACTTGTGTTCCTCTGGGACAGGCTGACGTTGTCATCCCCCGGAAGTTCCTTACCGTTTAGCCACCACACATAGCTTGTCTTCAGGAAGGGAGGGCCACATGTTAATTCAACAGTGTCTTGTCCCTCCACAGCTGTGCTGCTGTTGCTTCTTATGGAGGGTTTGGATAACTGAGCTGTGAGACAACGGAGAAGAGAATGGTCTGTGTGGTTCTGGACACCGGGAAGTCCTTTCTCTCCTCTCTCACCACAGGCAGGTGCCCGGGGCCCTGGGGACTCGGCCCCTGGGGTCGCCTGCACTGGGTGAGGGAGAAGCACTGGCTTTCACACACATGAACTGGGATGCAGTGTTTGCTTGTGGACTGACCCAGGAGCTGCAGCCGCGGCCCTGCTGGGCTCTCCCGGTCCTCACGGCCTGACCTCAGGCCATGGGCTGCTAGACTCCCTCCAGCCTCGCTGCCCTCCACCGCTCAGCCTGAGTGTGGGTCCTCGGAGGCTTTGCTTCTCAAGGCCATGGGCCATCCCTTTGTGCTTCAAATCCTGGGAAGCACCCGGAGTCAGGCGTTCTGGGTTGCATGGGTTGGTTGAAGAAAGAGGGTCACGTCAAGATGAATTTTAGGTTCTCTGGCAGCAGGGAGGAAGTTTCTGTGAACTGAACCCCAAACAGCCATGCAAAAGTGTATTCATTGATTGTTACACAACATTTTTGGTTGTGTAACCAAACTAAAGTCCTTGATCTAATCTATGGTTTCTGAAGGAAAACATCATGCCCTTGCCACTTTAGTCCTTATTGTGTACTGTTTGCTGCACCCAATAAATCAAGGCCTCCAGGTGTGCCAGGACCGACTTGGGACAAAAGTCGTGCAAAGGCTGTGAATCTCCCCCAGGAAAACAACTCTGTAGGTATCAGAAAACAGCCGGTTTCCCACAATGATTTCATCAAGGCCAAAGTACTTCTAGAAAACAACTATTCGTTTTAATGTTCAACCCTAGACACAGTGCAGATCAGTAGATACAATGGTTCTACTAGACTCCTACAATACAACACTCAGCACCGGAGGGATGATCAGAAACGCCTCATACTGGCTCAGGGGTCATCCTAGACCCAGTGTCAGAGTGAGGGGCACAGGCAGAGCTGTGCCCTTCTTTCTATGAAGAATGGCTCTCTTAGAGGGCGGTCAGTCTCAGGCCAAAGTCTGAAGTCCTTCAGGTCACATGGGGTTCAGCTCCGCAGTATGGAGTCTAAGCTTGTCCAGAGCTTCCCGGCCTTCCCAGTTCTGGGATTGAAGTTAATGCCATCTTGCCTGGCTTTCCCTGATTCTTTATAACACAACTATTAGGAGTTGTCTATTCTTTGGGACCCCCCCCCCCGGTTCCAGGGACCAGTGGACAGGAAGAAAGAACTACTCTTTCTTTATCCTCTAAAGGGAATGCCTTCCCATCAATCCAAAAGGTATGTGATTTTAAGTTGAATAAGCTAGCATGTGCCTGGAGGAGATAGCCAAGACATTGTCCCGATTCCTGTGATTGTGTTGCAGCATGAAAAGGGTTGTGTATGTGCTCTAACCCACACGCAGTCTGTCTCCCCAGCTTCCTGTCTATGGAAATCACCTGACCCAGCAGCTCCACGGGTGGCTCAGAAGGAACCCAGTCATAGACGAGGACTGTCCTGTAGGCAGACATGGCGTCCTCTGCCCAGCACTCAGGCCCCATGTGGCCCAGATTCACCAGCGGCATTTCCCCATGCTTGGTTTCCTATCTGCAGGGTGGCTGTTGTGGGGATTGCTATCTTGTCTATAGACGCCCCTCACGGTGCTCACAGTCACCTTACCTTGGTAAAAAAAAAAAAGACCCCCTTTGTGCGGACCCAGGGCCCTTAGCCAGCCCTCGACTGAGCCCTTGGGATCTTCCTCAGAGCCATGGGCGGGGACAGGGACAGGTGTGGGGCAGACTTCCCCTTCACAGTAGCCGGCTCTCTACAGCGTGGATGCAAGGGAAAGAGTCTGTTTCCACCGTGTATGTCCTCCACTAAGTGCTCAAAGCCTAGTAAGGGACCGTGATGCAGAAATGAGGAGGCCCGGTATGGACTGAAAGCCTGTGTGTGTGTGTGAAATGCAATGAGCCCCATTCAGCTGCTGGAGACCACAGGGAGTCACTTACGGTATACGAAGACCTCCACAAGCACGGATTTTTGGTCAGACTCTGCAGAATGGACATTTAGGTTGTAGATTCCAGATTGCTTCAAGGTGACATTCTGTAACATCAAGGACCCATTAGGGTATAGAGTCTCTCTACCACTGTGTAGGATTCCTTGTTTCGTTTTTTGAGATTTTACTTCATACTTTATAATTAGATTTTTGTCCAGTGGCTCCTTCCCTTTGAACCAGTGAAAGGCTGAAAGGTTGCCTGGCAAACCGTAAGCAGGTAGAAGGACACCGTCCCCTTCAAGGACAGCAGGTGGCAGCGACTCAATGGCGGGTTCAGCAGCGGTGGGCACATTGCACACGGTTAAAAGTGAGGCTACATGGAAGGAGAGAGAAGACATCAGTGTGTGGGCCTGTGTGGTGAATAGTGTCTCTGTCCAACACGAATGTGTTCGTGTGTGTGTGTGTGTGTGTGTATGTGTGTGTGTGTATTGTGAATGTTTGTGTGGTGTGTATATGTGTGTGTGTGTGGTGTGTATATGTGTGTGTATATTGTGTATGTGAGTGTGGCGTGTATATGTGTGTGTGTGGTGTGTGTGTGTATGTGTGTGTATGTGTGTGTGTATGTGTGTGTGTATGTGTTTGTGTGCGTATATTGTATATGTTTGTGTGGTGTGTATATGTGTGTGTGGTGTGTGTGTGTATTGTGTATGTTTGTGTGGTGTGTACATGTGTGTGTGGTGTGTGTATGTATGTGTGTGTGTATATTGTGTATGTGTGTGTGGCGTGTATATGTGTGTGTGTGGTATGTGTATGTGTGTGTGTATATGTGTGTATATGTGTATGTGTATGTGTGTGTATATTGTGTATGTTTGTGTGGTGTGTGTGTATTGTGTATGTTTGTGTGGTGTGTATATGTGTGTGTATGGTGTGTGTGTGGTGTGTGTATATGTGTGTGTGGTGTATGTATGGTATGTATATATGTGTGTGTGTGTTGTGTATGTTTGTGTGGTGTGTATGTGTGTGTGGTGTGTGTGTATGTGTGTGTGTATATGTGTGCATGTGTATGTATGTGTATGTGTTGTGTGTGTATGTGTGTGTATATGTGTGTGGTGTGTGTATGTATGTGTGTGTATATGTGTGTGGTGTGTGTGTATGTGTGTGTGTGTATATGTATGCGTGTGTATGTATGTGTATGTGTTGTGTATGTATGTGTGTGTATATGTGTGTGGTGTGTGTATGTGTATGTATGTGTGTGGTGTGTGTGTATGTGTGTGTGTGTATATGTGTGCGTGTGTATGTATGTGTATGTGTTGTGTGTGTGTATGTGTGTGGTGTGTATGTATGTATGGGTGTGTGTTGTGTGTGTGTTGTATGTGTATGTATGTGTGTGTATATGTGTGGTGTGTGTGTATGTGTGTGTGTATATGTATGCGTGTGTATGTATGTGTATGTGTTGTGTGTATATGTGTGTGTATATGTGTGTGGTGTGTGTGTATATGTGTGTGTGTGTGTGTGTGTGGTGTGTGTATGTATGTGTGTGTATATGTGTGTGGTGTGTGTATGTGTGTGTATAGTGGGTGTGTTGTGTGTATGTATGTGTGTGTATATGTGTGTGGTGTGTGTGTATGTGTGTGTATGTGTGCGTGTGTATGTATGTGTATGTGTTGTGTGTGTGTGTGTGTATATGTGTGTGGTGTGTGTATGTATGTGTGTGTATATGTGTGTGGTGTGTATATGTATGTGTGTGTATATGTGTGTGTGTATGTGTGTGGTGTGTGTATGTGTGTGTATATGTGTGTGGTGTGTGTGTGTGTGTGTGTGTGTGTGTATGTGTGTGTGTATATGTATGCGTGTGTATGTATGTGTATGTGTTGTGTGTATATGTGTGTGGTGTGTGTATGTATGTGTGTGTATGTGTATGTGTTGTGTGTGTATGTGTGTGTATATGTGTGTGGTGTGTGTATGTATGTGTGTGTATATGTGTGTGGTGTGTGTATGTATGTGTGTGTATATGTGTGTGGTGTGTGTATGTATGTGTATGTATGTGTGTGGTGTGTGTATGTATGTATGTGTGCATGTGTGTGTTTTGTGTGTGTGTTTCACTCCACCCCTGCCACTGTTGAGCTCAGCAGCGTGACTCTGTTCCCTCAGCTCCCTAGCATTCTCTCCCTTCTGTGCATTAGAGCCATTCCCCTAGGGTCTTCACCACTCATTTGCTCTTCTCTGTCCTCATCCAGGGCATCCTGGGGAATCCTTGGCCACCTCTTCCAAGACCCAGGATTGTGGGGAGTGGATGAAGTCCGTGAGTAAATGTGTATTATTGACACGAGGGTAGCCATGGCAAGGACCCCAGTGCCCCAGACCCTTCCAGGGCACTGGCTCTGGGATGGCGAAATCTTCTGGTCCATATCTGGATGTTCCACATGACTGACCTTTGGCTAAAGCTGGTGTTTGTAGACAGTATCAACCAAGGCTTCCTCTTCCTGGGTGTTTACAACCTGAAACTCTTCCTCCTACTGAGATGAACCAACCCACCTGCCTCCTTGTGTGCAATAAACTAATGAGTATGTGGCGTTTCTAGGCCTCTGTTGGTATGCCTCCATCAGAACACATGGCCCCCCTGATCTGTTTTCCTGTACATGTGTCTGTGTGTCTGTCCAATTTTATGCCCTTGTCAGCCTAGTCAGTCTGTCAGGACCCAGCCTTGTGGGATGCCCTTCTGGGTCTGCACTTTCTGATCTTTCCCTGCTCTGTCCACACGTGGCTTTTGCCAGCCAAGGAGCTCATTTCCTGATGCCTTTGATGGCCTGCCTTCCTGCCTGGGATCACGTCTCTGTGAGACCATGGGATTTTCCTCACCTGAAAGTCACTTAGGCTGTTATGAAGTACAAGTGACATCTCTTATAAGGATGGTTTTATGGACTAAGAAGCAATGCTCAAGATTTAGGGGGAAGATGGGATAAAGAAACGTGATATTCTGGGGGATTCGGTGGACGCTGGCCCTACAGATAGCTAAGATCACCAGGTTGTAAATGACATCCTTTCCAGCATTCCAGGAGGAAGACAGGTAAATGTCTCCTTCCTTTGAAGAGATAAGGACGCCTGTCTACGTTTTCTAGCTTCTCCGGTGCTCATCTGTATGCACAAGGACTTCTACCCTCTGTGGCCTTGACACATTGTAAGAATCAGTCTTGAGAATGTAGAGGCCACCGGGGATTAGTCAGGAATAGAGACAATGGGGTTTTTCCTCTCCTTGCCAGTTCCAGTCTCGAGCACTTCCTGTTGCTGAGCCTCTTGTCCCTCTATTTGTCCTTTTCCCCTGGGGACCAAGAAAAGCCTTTGATTCCTTCCTGGGATTGTCCATGACACTCCAACCATGTAGGGACAGAGGAAGCCCTGAATGAATGTGTGCTGTTGACATGGCATGGCTATGTCAACCTCAGAACTTCAGCCTCAGAAAGATGGCAAACCCTTCCTGGGGGGTTGCTAAGTGGGAATCTTGACATTGCATGCAGAAAATGTCTAGCACAGCTCTCTCCCCCATGGATATTTATGGCCTGAAGATTGTTCCCCTACAGAGACTGCTACTAGATTACTGTTGCCGTGATCCAAGTGTTCTCCACAACACTTCTCGTCTCTGTTCAACACTATAATAAATACACTGTGCTCCTGGGTGCCGGGTTTCTCCATCAGACATCCCAGTCCATCTGGTCCCAGCTTTCCCATGTGTCTGTGTGTCCATCTGTCTTTTCTCCGTTCCTGCTCCACCCCAGTCTGGTCCATCCCTGGAGCTGTGATGGATGTGGTGTTGGAAACTGCCATTCTGCTGACCCCGCCCCCTAACGATGGGCAGGACACACATGGCCATGTCATCGCTAGTCACTAGTTACGGGGTTGCATAGGGGACTCAGTTAAGCATGTGAGAGTTTCCCTTTTTAAGCAATCGCGGCCCCCTTTCTTCTCTTCCCTCCTCTTCCTCCCCCTCCCTCCTCTTCTGTTCCCGGTGTCTCTATGTCTCTTCCCTTCCCCCTCACTCCCCTTTCTAAATAAACTCCTCACTTAAGCTCTATCTGCTTGGTGTGTTATTCCCCTCTGCCTGGGTCACCCTTGCCTGCTATGGGACCTGCTGTGCCCTCCCACGTGGTCCCTTACCTTGGGACCCCACTGACCTGGGACCCTCACTCGGGACTCCCCCTTCTCCAGCTTTTATTCTTGTAACTGTAACGAAAGAACAGCACGGGGTGCAGCCAGTCTGTTTGCCATCTCCCTGCTCCCTCCCGAGGTTGTTCTTCTCACCTGTCAGTAGGAGCCCCTGCCACGAGACACATGTTGGGAGAAGGGTGGAGGGAGGGTCCATGGTCTGCTGTCTTTGTCCTGCCTCTGTGAAAAAGAGCTCAGGCTTCAGGATTCTCCCGAACCCTGGTCAGTACTGTTGTCCTTTATCTCTCTGAACTGAGCTCATTATGGGACTGGACCTTTCAGGGTCACATGGGCTGGGACTGGGCCCCTTGTTAGGACTCTTCTCTGTTCCCTACTGGTTTAGTCCTGCATCCTTTCCTCTCCCTTCCCTGAGTTAGTTTTCAGTTCCCCATCCCCCACAGACTGATGGGAGTCCTTGTCAACTGTCCACCCCAGCACTACCCTCTACTATGCCCTTGGCTTGGGGGCTGTCTTCATCACAGAGGGAGGCCTTGGAGCTCCAAACTATGGGTGTGTATCCTTTTGTGACACAGAATCCCAACAGGTCACCTGGTCTTCTCAGTGTTTTCTAGTGCTCTGGGACAGTAGGACTTACTCTCAGCAGGAAGGTGATAGGGGATGGCTCTAGGGCAGATAAATGGGCATTCCAAATCTTGACTTGGGAGACTAGTTTGGGAGACTAGTCCTTTGTCATCATATTGGTCTGTGTTTCTGGATAAAAATTTAGGAACAGAAGGAGCGTCATGCCCTGAAACTGCAAGAGGAGGTGACAAGGATATACAAAGAATGGTTGAACATGGTATTGGGTGTTAGGTAGTACTTGGGTCTGCTTTTCTCAGTAGAAGGTGTGGAGAGATCCTCTGAGTATATTGGCTAGGCTGTGTCTCAGGTTTGCTCATCTCCTCTCTGACTTTTATGGGCAACATTTGTCCTCTGCTCAGGTGACTTTCCTGTCATCTCTCCCTGTGGGTGATGCTCGAAAGTAATGGACTGCTCAGGTTCCCCTTATAGAGCAGGGGAAGAAAGGAAGAGGTGAGTAGGCACCTTTGAGGGACTTGTGGTTTGTTAGGCCACAGTATGGAAACCAGGCTGCGTATCCACCTCTTGATCCAAAGCCAAGTTCATGTCTTGCTGAATGTTAGCGTCCTGATATCACCGCCTTGATGTCACGAGAAGACCCGCTCCCGGTCTCAAGGGCTTCAGCAGGAACGCTAACTAGGGACCTATTCTCTGAGCTGCCCTGAACCCTGGTACTAGAAGTTACTCTGCATACTACCAGAGGAGGAAGGCAATCACCTGCATCACCTAGTTAAAGACCCTGACCTCCAACAGCAACCTACTTACAAGATACATGGGCACAATAGCGGCATAAATGTTATGGGAGTAACCAACCATGTTTAAAAAAGGGAATGTAAGGCCCGCTGCATTTGATGGAAACTATACCCATGCCTGACATTGCTAAATTGCCCAAGGTGGGTCAAGGGACTATGGGAAAAGCTAACACTATTATTCTACTAAAGGAAAATAGCAATAAAATGATGCCTAGTGACATAGTGCTGTGCCCGTAGATGAGGATCTCCCTCAACCCCCATCAGAGAAGCTTCTTGCAGTACATGGGAACTAACACAGAGACGTAGAACTGGAAAATGTGCAGAGTGAGAGACTATGGAACACCCAGTCCTTCATGGGACGTCTTCTTCAACTCCTCCCTTCAGTGCTCAGGGATCTGTGAGGAAGAGGAAGTGGAGAGATGCCTGAGACAGGGGTGATGGATTATTCAAAGGAGCAGTATCTTCCGGACACAAGAGGACGGATGCCCAGTGCACAGGGCACCAGGCTTGCAGATAGGCACTTTTCCTTAGTGAGCCATCTCAGCAGGCCCCAGAATTCTGTCCTTTTGTGGCTGATCAATCTTGAAATGTGTGTACATTTATTTCTCTATTCATCTAGCGACAGACGCTTGGATTTTCTCCACCTTGTGCTTCTTGTGGGACACTGCTGTGAGTCTGGAAGGATCTGGCTTGCATATGAAGTTGTCATGTTCAGCTGTTAGGTGCTCAGGATTGTCTCCCACGGTGACTAGTGTTTCAGATTCCCTTAAGTCATGCCCAAGAGTGCACCTTTTCCACATCCCACAGATTGTTTGTTATTGAGCCATTTGAGGTATTGTAACAACCTTGGTGGGTGTGGAGTGGGATCTCCTTTGAGCCTAGTTTGTGGTTTTGAAGTAGAATAAGGTAGAAACGGCCAATTTTTGGATCCTGATTCATTGATTTGCTTAAAGCAACACTTATTCTGCTTGTTTGCCAAGCATGCCTTCACTAGCTACCTGGGAAAGAATGACCTGGAGGAGTAGCTGAAACAATGGCATTATCCTTAACCGCCGGCTGACTGCCGCACCTGATTCTGTGAAACCTTATGGCCTGTCCCACCTTGTGGCTTTAGAGTATAAAATGAGAGTACAGCCTGGAGCCGACATCAAAGCCTTTCAGGCTCCTAGGTTCAGTCCGCTGGCGATGTCTCCTCTGGTCCACTCCCATTGCTGTCCGAGTGTTAATTCCAGAAGGTTCCCTTGACATTTCCCAACGACTGACGGCTGATAGTGGGTGCCGCTCCCTGTACCTACTAGCTATTTGCGCATCCCTGGAGCCATGTCTATTTAAGTGTTTCCCCATCCTAAGATTGATACGCCTTATATAAAGTGCTGGAGTATAATCGTCCATGCACTGGGATGACCTCAGCCTCCAGTGTCATTCCCCTGCTGCCCCCTCACCCCTCCATGTCTCCGCTAGTCCCCCTCACTTTATTTCCTTTCCACTCTCTAAGTTCTGTGTGTGAGAGAAAGCTTATGACACTTGTCTAAGTGTGGCTTGTTTCGTTTAACATGATGTTCTCTACTTCCACCCAGTTCTCTGCAAAGGACTTAATTTCCTCCCTTTGGCTTATAATACCCCATTGTGTATGTATTCCACATTTTCACAAAAACTTTATTAGTTAATTGTGTGTGTGTGTGTGTGTGTGTGCACTAGTGTGCACTTGGTCTAGATCCCAGTGCCTTACAAACACTGGACAAGCACTATATCATGGAATTATAGTCACAGTCCTTATAATTTGATGAGTTTTTTTTTTTTTTTTTTGTATTGAGGTGAGGGGGTTTGGTTTTGTTGCTCAGTGTGGTCTCAAATTACTGGGCTCAAGTAATCCTCTCCCCCCCCAGCTGAAATTAGATACCACATCACCACAACTTGATTTGAGTAAATGTGTCCATTCATGGAATAACCCCCTGAGTAGGTTGTAAAATATTTCTGCCTCTACCAAGTTCCTCTGAGTGCCTTCTCACTTAATTCTGCCCCAAGTTTGAATTCTCAGCACTATTAATTACACCTTTCTATTCATGGCTGCATTGAAACGGCATTTAAATAACACTCCTCCATATCTGACTCGTTTTGCATACATGATATTTTCAAAATACCACTTTCAGAAAATACTGGAATTTTGCTGCTGTGGTCCAGGATGGTCTGGAATGAATGGACTTGTTTGATTCCAGGGGTGTGCCACTGAGCCCGGCAAGATTCATCCACTTTGTTTTGCGGGAACTTGAGCCCGTCAACTACAGACAAGCATGACAGTCCTAGAGAGACTATGGAGACAAGAACACATCTCAACTTAATAGAGGCCCGGCAGCCAACATCGTGCTGTGTGTGTGTGTGTGTGTGTGTGTGTGTGTGTGTGGGGACTTGAAGTGTCCTACTAAAACCAGGGCAAGACAAGGATGTCCATTCTCTCCACTCCAGTTCAATGTAATAGTCGAAGTCTTCGAGCAATAAGACGACAGATGGCAATAAAAGGGATACACATAGGAAGGGAAGAGGTCAAAGTATCATCATTGCAGATGTTATATACCTTAGAGACTACAGAAAACCTTGACAGTTGACAAACATGCTCAGCAAAATAGTAGGTTACAAAATTAACACACCAAAATCACCAGTCTTCCTGCTTACCCAGAACATACACATGGAGAATGAAATCAAGGAACAATACCATTCACAAGAGCCTCAAAAATATCTTGGGATGAACCTAACCAAGCAAGTAGGAGACCTCTGTAACTTTGAAACACTGAAGGGGGAAAGGACACAGACTCCAGAAGATCGAAACACCTACTCTCTCGGGGATTGGTTAATCTTATCACTCGTGGTTTATCCAACTGAACTGCAGCATCCCCCACCCTAAGGAAAAGAACAACAGAGCTCTTGAAATGTGCAGGTCACCATTTCAGATCTTGTAGAATTAGTGAAGGACATGGCTGCTGGGCCTTCCTGTTGTGGGAAGCAAACCCACATTAGCATAGCAGTTTCTCCTGAACCTTAAAATCCCTTTAACACTAAGACAAGGGATATGAGGCACCTCCAACTCTTTACAGTAGGCCATCCTATGATAAATGCTTCCGCCAACCATTCAGACTTGGGACACTTTCAAAAAACTGTTTTTTTTTTCTTTAACCATATTAAAGCTAGAATTTCTGAGGCCCATGTTGATAAACTCAGCTTGATTGAGTTCCTTCCACAATCGTCCCCACTCTTACCATCATCCCATACACATATTCCCCAGACTTTGCCTTGAAGGAATTAGCAAACTCATTAAGCTCATTGGTGTTGCAGTGCATCTCTTCATGGACTACACTTTCTATGTCCTCTTTAACAGCATACTTAACCTGGAGTCTGGTTATGGGTCTAGAGGCAACTATAGGTGGGCCCTGAGGGATATCAGTATCGTCATCCCTGGCATTTCCTTCAGGAAAGTTACTGCTGGTCATTGACTTAGCAGACAATGAAGGATTAATTTCCTCAGCAAAGGCAGAGAGGACAATATTGCAGTGTGTGTGTGTGTGTGTGTGTGTGTGTGTGTGTGTGTATGGAGGCATCGTCTCTAAAGGATAAGAGACTACTTCCTCCAGTGAGATAAACCCTTGAGAATCTGAGATTTCAAGTCCTCCACCTCAGAAGCATCTTCCTGCATATCTCCATCCCAAGTTACAGGAACCCACTCCTGGCACCAGTCTTTATTCACCAAGGTTTTCGAAGGAACAGAACAGGGTTACACACACACACACACACACACACACACACACACACACACACACTGATAAGATGGTCTTGA